AAAAACTTGGATGTTCGAGCAAGTCTTCAATTGATCTTCGACGTGATGTTGGCTGACCATGGATTAGCAATCAAGGAGAACGAACTGGATTACGATTTTATCTATGAGATGTCCCGATCTGTATTGGTGGCCCAATACTATGTATGTTTTTGTATGTATTCTTAATTTTAATTTTTATATGCTTAAAGTGAATTGTATATTTTAACATGTTGTAAACCGCAATGAGTCGCCGCACAGGCTGAGATATTGGCGGTATACAAGCGTACCAAATAAATAAACAAATAATACAAAGACAAGGACAAACAGACTGAGAGGTAGCTTTTATCCTAGAACTGTTACTATATTGAACCCCATAGTTTCACATTGATGTGACATTGGGGGCTGTATGGTGGTGGTTGAAGTATGGAGGGATGGGTATGTTGTTTTTGTGGTGTGTTCTGGGGAAAGCATTTAATTGTGTTGTACAATGTACAATGACAAGAAAACTATTCTATTCTATTCTATTTTTTCCCCTTCTTGCTAAGAAGAGCTCGGCTAAAATACCATTATTGTCAGTATGAAGAAGATATAACCATACGAGGAAATCATGATAGGTGTTCTGCAATTTAACCTATAATGTCAAAATAAATCAACACAGGTTTGCTCAACTGAATTACTATTTTGTTCCCTATACAGATGGAAGCAATGTTGAGCATGTTGCACTGTGTTTAATCCTAGAGCTATTACTGAATGGGGCCGTTAACATTAACATGAAAATGTCTCGGTGTTGTTAGTTTAGTAACCCCTTTCTCTTCCTAATAGGCTAGTACTTCCCCAGGCAAACATTAACCCTGATGCTTTTCTCATGAGAGCAGTTAACTTTTATCCTTTGACTACTTAACATTTAAATACATTGACCACACAGAGAATTACTGGGCCCAGAAATCTAGATTAAAACAAGATGTCCACATTCAAATTATATTTTGGGTCTCTATTAAACCTCTTGCATAGAGATATTTAAACTATAGTAAGCTGCAAGGTAAGAAAAGAAATGTTTCTTTATTCAATGAGAGAGTAAAAAAACAGAGAGAGAAAACAGGATGCCACCAGTTGTGAGATCTTTCACTAGAACTTAATTTTTGATTCCACTCACCAATCAATTGCTGTTCCCCATAAAAAGTTTGAAAGTGCATCTTACTGTTGGTAAGAGGTGAAATTTTCACTAAATGATTATATTTTAAAAATCACAAGATTAGAGGACATTTTCAAGAATTATTAGTTTACTGCAACGCAATTCATATTTCAATTCATGCCTACACTCAGACCTCCACAATCCCTGGGATTGGGTGCAGACTCCTGGGAAAGTGGAATAACCATCAGTTTTAAAAAGCCTATTTTTATCTGAGAGAATAGCTCTCTAGTCATCTCTAGGTCCTCCAGTGTGGATGGTGACCATAGAATCACACTGGTGGACCTGCAAATGCACATAAAAGCCTTCTCTCTAGGAATCTCTAGTTCTCCAGGTTGATTACTTCTGGTGAAGTTTGACCATGCAGTCACTCTGGAGGATCTAGAGAAAATAAAGTGTATTAATCAAATCCACAAATAATCAAATCTGTAAGAATCTGTTAGAGGTCTTTTAACTCCCGCCACTTCTGGCGGGAGCCCTGACAATTCGGTCACGCGCTGTGAAGCACTTGCTCGGTTCTTCGCAGACAAAGTCGCCTTGATCCGTTCTGGGCTGGACACCATGTTAAATGCAGTCTCCGTGGATGTGACACGAGCACCTGCTTGTCCTACTTTGATGGATTCTTTTCAGTTTGTGAAACCCGAGGATGTGGACAAGATACTTGGAGGAATGAGGCCCACCACATCCATCCTAGACCCCTGCCCATCCTGGCTTCTGAAGGAGGCCAGAGGGGGATTGGCTGAGTGGGTAACGGTGGTGGTTAATGCCTCCCTTCGGGAAGGCAAGATTCCAGCGTGCTTAAAACAAGCTATTATAAAACCGCTGTTGAAGAAACCATCATTGGACCCCACTAAATTTGACAACTTTCGGCCTGTTTCCAATCTCCCCTTTTTGGGCAAAGTCATGGAAAGCGTGGTGGCCTCACAACTCCAGGTATCCTTGAGAGACACGGATATTCTGGATCCGGCACAGTCTGGCTTCAGACCGGGACATGGTACTGAGACGGTCTTGGTCGCCTTAGTGGATGATCTGCGCCGGGAGCTAGACAGGGGGAGTGTGTCCCTGTTGGTGCTCCTGGACCTCTCAGCGGCCTTCGATACTGTCGACCACAGTATCCTTCTGGGGCGCCTTGCGGAAATGGGCCTTGGGGGCACTGCTTTGCAGTGGCTCCAGTCATTTCTCGAGGGTCGGTCCCAGAAGGTGTTACTGGGAGACTCCTGTTCAACCCCACAACCTTTGTCTTGTGGGGTTCCTCAGGGTTCAATACTGTCCCCCATGTTGTTTAACATCTACATGAAGCCGCTGGGCGAGATCATCCGGAGTTTCGGAGTGAGATGTCATCTGTACGCAGATGATGTCCAACTCTGTCACTCCTTTCCACCTGCTACTAAGGAGGCTGTCGCGGTCCTGAACCGGTGCTTGGCCGCTGTGACGGTCTGGATGAGGGCGAACAAATTGAAATTGAATCCAGACAAGACAGAGGTACTCCTGGTCAGTCGCAAGGCCGAACAGGGTATAGGGTTACAGCCTGTGTTGGATGGGGTCGCACTCCCCCTGAAGACGCAGGTTCGCAGCTTGGGTGTGATCCTGGAAAACTGTCTTTTTGTATATTGCCTTTTTATGCTGTACACCGCCATGAGTCGCCCGAGAGGGCTGAGAATGGCGGTTAATAAATGCACCAAATAAATAAATTAAACTAGGAAATGTGGAGGGCTGACTGTAATCTGATTAGATTCAAAAAGTTGTTTCAAGGCTAAATTAAATGTCATGCCCAGGGCCGTAGCCAGGGGGGTTAAGGGTTCTAACCCCCCCCCCCCCAAAACATGGTTTACTCATGAATTTTAACTGGTTAACCAATTTATGAGTAAACCAGTTTTCTTTTTTAACCTGACACGTTTCAGGGCAGGTTTGAACTTTTAACCCCCAGGGGTATGGCCCTGGTCATGCCCACCTGTACCGAGACCATGTGTGCTCTCAAAATGTGGCATGAACCAGCATTTTTAATACCAGTTCATACTGCATTTTGTCCTGTGTAGAAGTGACAACATGGCAGTTCTTGGAGATGGAAGCCCCCTTCTCCTCTCCAAGCTCCATTGCATCATAATTTCCAGCAAAGAAGAGAATGGCCAGCCTCCAGAAACAATTAAAGACAATTTCTGCTTATTTTGAGGGCAAAACAGGGGGCTGGAAGCACTGCCATCTCATCTCCCCAGAATGCCTGTAAAGTAAGATCTCCATTAAATTTTCAGTATACATTCAGGATATTGAATGTTTCTGAACAGATTCTTGACCATGAAAACTGGATCATTTACTATGAAACTGATGTTGTATTTGTCATTGTCATTCTTATCACAGAAAACAGCAACAAGATCTATCAACATAATAAAGCAGTTGAAGTTCTACATCAAGCATTGATCTGTTATGAATAATTAACTGGAGAAAGAGTACCTTACAACAAATAAGAATCCCACAATGGTGTTGGAAAACATTAAGTGCAGGTGTCATTGTGGACATGGGAGCATTATACATAAATTTACACCTAGTAACACGTATATATCGTGGTGCTGATCAATACCAAGTAGAAAATATGGATTACTAAAAAATCAGGCGATTGTAACACTAACTAATATAATAAAACCTGAAAAACCAAACAGTTGTAAGGGAGATAGAAATAGTAAATTTCAAGAAATGATGTACACAAACATCAAAGCTTCTCAAGTAGAATATTAAAACATTGTCATGCCTAAATTTGCATATGAACTATTGCATGCATGTATTAATCACAGAAGAAATGTATAATATGTAGCAGTACATATCATACATAAAACATATTATATAGCAATATTTATAACATAATATTTTCAATATCTAATATATAGCAAAATGTAAAATAAAATGATAACAGATATAATATAAAATATTTACATAACAATATTTGTATAATGTAAGTGAAAATACAGATTGTGTAAGAGTTCCTTTACAAATTATCCTTTTGACCGCATAGATTCTTTTGGCGGTGTGAAAAAAAGCTATGAAACTATAAAACACATGATTGCATTACATTTTTAAAAAACGGTAGCATATTAATAATTTTTATGTACAGCATATGCATAGCCTTCTGTTCACTGGCTATAACCCAAGAAACAAGAGTCCTATGCATGTTTTTCATAAACTTCAAAGTTGTTGTACCTTATGATTAATTATGTCCATTAAATCGGCATAACTGCACTTAATATTGTTTTGAATGGTCAACAGACACTATGTTTATTTCAGCTTAGTCTTCATCTTAACAAGAAACAGCAAAAGACGTCCAGAACTATGAAGATGAAAATATTTCCCTTATTAGCTGTATTACAATAAGGAAGGGTTTTTATGCCTCGGTAACTATAAAGCTTTGTCTACTGAAAAGATAAGTAGCTTTGCCAAATCATTTGCAAAAAGTCCTTGAATTATAGCAAGCTTTGAAACAGAACAACCAAAATCCTCTGAGTACTAACCGGCACTGAAGTGAAGCTCATTCCTTGTGGAACTGAAATGATCATTTAAACAGATGATGTGACAACAGAGCAAGGGACAACCTGGATCAAAATCTTGCAGCATGTTATTTAGAGCAGAGCATATGTTTCTGGGACAACCTCATCACAGGCATTTTTTCATTAGTGCTGGATGAACCTCAGAAGGATCAGCGAGCCTGCCCAGATTAGTAACCCAAAAGCAGGATGCTTCGTCATGGGTATTTAAACTATTTTTAGTGTAAACATGATGGCAATAGGATGATGCCCTTCCCCCTTCTCCTGTTAAAACCATCAAAATAATTAAAATCTGCACATACCAATCTGCGAATCTCTCGTTCACACTCTCTCTTTATTCTGGTGATTTCTTCTTGGTGAAGGTGATACACGCTCCTTATCTCTGCCGCTTTAATTTTGTCAGCTTGAACGACCACGGATAAAGCCTCTTCCACTTGTTTTTTAGCCCCCTTAAGCTCTGAAATTTCCTGCTGCATTTTGGTTTTTTCAACTTCAAATCCTTTCTTGGCCTCCTCCTTTGCTTCGGCGAAGAGGACAGTCTTAACCTTATCAGGCGTCCCATCCCGTACGGCATTAAGCAAGGCCTGTAGTCTTTGAATTTCATTATCTTTAATTTTTATGACTCTAAGAAGCTCAGCTTCATGCTGTCTTAAAAGTCCTTCCCGAACAGCCTGGAGTTCCTTCATTTTTTCTTCATGAAGTTTGGCCTTGAGTTCTGTTACATTCACTATGTTTTTATGCTGTTCGTGTTCTTTGATCTGCCTCACTTCCTGGTTTTTCTCCCTCTCCAATTTGCCAACCTGGAAGAAAAGGAAGAGCAAGAAAGGATCACACAGTATATTTTAGGTTTATCTTATCAATACCTAACACATCGGGGATGCTCTAGCCTTGGATTCCTGAACACTCTCAGTGTTGGACTTAGACCATGGGGGAACTTCCAACTCCTCAATTCAAGGTTGGATACTCTTCTCATGAAATCATAAAATTTGTGAATGTATTTAATACACCTATTTTTTTTACCATCAACACTAGCAACTAGTGTGGTGCCCACATCAGTACGATTGTAAACAGGTGGCATAGAAAAGATGGAATTAGCAGCAATTTACAGGACAATCCTATATCCTGGCTGTGCTGTGTAGATGGAAACAGAAGATAATTTTCTTCTATCTTGTATGGTGAATGTAAAGAGAAAAATGCATGTATAAACTCTATTAAGAGCATGTAATTCCAAGTGTCAGTATTGTTTGCTAGGCAAAAGTATGATAGCTGGGACCCTACACTGGTTGCACAACGCGTGTCTGAATTAATGAGGGGAACACATGCGCAAGACAGCGTAGCGAGTGAGAGATGCAGCTGCGTCAAAGTTGTGGGAACATTGTTCGCCAGAAAGGGGGAGAGGAAACATTTCTATCCCGTTTACTGTCTTTGTAAGCCGTTGTTTATCATTTAACAATAAATAACTCTAACACTACTTCACTCGCCTTAAGCACTATGCTTGGCTTTTTGTTGTCCCCCCTTTCTGTGTCCCCCTTTTCTGACCCGCATTGCGCACATCTTCCCTTCATTAATTCTGACCCGCATTGCACAAGTAGCGTAGCATTGGGTCCCAGCTATCATACTTTTTGCCATTTGCTACTTGGATGGGAGACTACCAACAAATACCTGGTGCTGTAGGCTATATATCAGAGGAAGGAACTAGTAAAGCATTCCTTGTCTAAGAAAACCCTCTGGAATTCATGGGGTCACCATAAGTCAATGGGCAACTTTAAGACATACACATGCACACATTAATTTTCCAATCATCTCTGCAATCATCATTGTAAATAAGAGGCATATTATGTCTAAAAGAAAACTACACATTTGATATTCTTTAGACTTTTGGGTGACATAATAACTAAAATAATATAGGGCAGCAGTTCTTAAAGTGTGCTCCACTGAGCCCTTGGGGTTCTGGGAAGCATACTGAGGAGCTTCGCACTTTCCTCCTCCTCTTCTCCCTCCAAGCACATGTGATGGGGGCTTTCCCTCCTCTTTATTCCTCCTCCAAGTACACAGTAGTTGTCCCTCTTCTTTCCTGCTCCTCCCCATTCAAGTGCATGCGGTGGCAGCTTTCTCACTGCCAGGGAGGGATTGACCAAGGGAGGGAATGAATGTGGGCCTGAAAAGGAAGGCATCATGCAAAGGTAGGGAGGCCCTGTGAGGTCAAAGGCAAGGCCGCTCACGGGCTCAGTCTCCTTGGCCAGGCCTCCTTCCTGCTCCCGCCAGCAGCTGCAGCGGCCATAGCATGGTCCTCCTGAGGCCCAGACCCATGGCTCTGGGGTTGCTCCTATTACTATTATTACTATTATTACTATTATTACTATTATTACTAATATTACTAATATTACTAATATTACTAATATTACTAATATTACTAATATTACTAATATTACTATTACTAATATTACTAATATTACTAATATTACTGCAGAGGCTGGATTGCAATCTGCCAGTGGCACTTTGTGTTTTTCCTGCATGGTAGAAACGAGTTGGACTGGATGCCTTTGGGGTCTTCTGTTGAAATACTGTTAAGTTTATATTGGTTAAAATTGTTAATTATTTAAGATATTGTATTGTTCTTTCTTTCCTTTTTTGCACTGTAAACAAGATATGTGCATTGTGTATAGGAATTTGTTCATCTTTTTTCAATTAGTTCACACAAATATTCTCCATCCATCTGGAACTGGCCCATCTGTCAAATTTTAAAACACAATGTGTCAAAAAGCTTGCCCATTCCTGATATATGTACATAATACATAATGTAATATACAATATAAACATTTATTGGGGCTCCATGAAAAACTTTTGCTTCAAAAAGGGCTCTACAGATGAAACAGTTTGAGAACCCCTGATATAGAGGTGTATTATTACATACACTGGTACATAATGAATTGTGGCTATATATACAATTAATTGTATATTGAATTGTGGCTATATATACAATAGGCCTCTACTTATTGTTTGCTGCACAGAAAATTTATTTAATTATTATTTATTTACATCATTTTTATCCCACCCATATCAGCCCGAAGGTGACTCAGGGTGGCGAACAAGACAGCAACAATTAGATGCCATATATAAAAATACATACATCGCTAAAAAGCAAAAACACCACAATGCATTTAAAGACCATAAAAGCAGTAAACAATAAAAATTATTAAAAACTTTGTCTTCTTGGTCAAATCCTCAACCGTTCCATCGTCTTAGCTGTTCCTAATTCATTTTCTGATTTGAATTTAACTGGTCATGCTGAGGTTCAAAATGCTTACTCAAAGAGCCAGGTTTTCACTCTTTTTCAAAAGGTCAGAAGGGAGAGGGCTGATCTAATATCTCTAGGTAGGGAGTTCCACAGCCGAGGGGCCACCATAGAGAAGGCTCTGTCTCTCGTCTCTGCCAAATGTGATTGTGAAGCAGGCGGGATCGAGAGCAGGGCCTCCTCAGATGATCTCAAGTTCCTGGAAGCTTCATAGGGAGAGATGTGTTCAGATAGATAAGCTGGGCAGGAACCATTTAGGTGCTGTTTTCTGCACCAAACCCACCACAAACCCATATCTCAAATCATGTGGATTTTATGATGAATTAATATTGAATTGTGAAGATTTTTGCCAGTCCAAGATTATTCTCAAAAGAGTTTCTTGACACTTAGAAATATGTTTTTCTACTGCATTTTAATTCATTTGTATAACATGTTATAGGATGGTATATATAAGTATGAAATGCATGCATCCATCCATATAGGATAAAATCCCTCTTTGATTTTTAAAATTAATTATTTTGATGAATATTGAGAGTTTTAGTAAAGTATTTTTGGGATTATATATTTTGGGTGCTTCACTTCTTAATGGAAAAAAATCCCCCTCTTTTATTGATGTATAAGTTGTGAAGCTGCTTCACAAGCAATTCAACACCGTAATACTGCTGAGCTAGATAGTCAACACACAATTTACATGAGAACTTTGTGGTAATACTCTGCCTCCTAACTGCAAGTGAATGTCAGAGATGCAATACATTCAAAACTCCAGGCTGTAATTGCTTGTCTGCAGCCGATATTAACGAAAATCTAGGTGCAACTATGCTCAGCACGTTGCTTGTTTTCCATTAGTGGCTGCTTGCTTTGCAACATGCAATAAAATCAATTGTGAAATGTTGCATGGCTTGCATTTATATGCTAAAATACTCATGATGAACACTTCTTAACTTATCAGATCAGTCCATAGAAGAAACAGTGGGATAATATACAGTAAGTACAAGTACAATATATAAATTTGCATTAGCACTCAAGTTACCAGCACTATACTTCTAAAACTGGATCAGATCTTAGCAGTTTAAGGCTGCAATCTTAAACACCCTTAAGACTGAGGGTCACTATTCTATCCCAGAAGGTCTCTATTTCAGTGAAACCTTATTCTTTATCTTTCTTTAATTTGTAAATACTGGAACCATGAGATATTTTTGTATAGTCAATTTAATTCTTCTTGGGATTTTAGTATAAAATTTCCATTTTGCCCCAATAGAATTTTTTTATAGTTGCACTCTCTTTTTATTTTATTTTTCCCCTTTCCATAAAGATTCAATAAAAATTATTTTTTTAAAAAAAGACTGAGGATCACTAAAATAAGTAATGCCTCCTTTGGAGTAAACATTCAATGACATAAGTGTCTGCAAAGGCACTCATGATGAATTAAATTGCTTCAGTTATTTTTAAACCACAATAGTGCTCTGAACAATAAACCTCCTCTGAGTATTCCTTATGTAAGAATTGATGGGGTCGCCATAAGTTGACTGTGCTATTGTCACGTTTTTAAAAAATCTTATCCATTTGCTGTCCCACAAATCTATGCCTCAAAAGATGTGCGTCTGCTGTGCCCGTACCTCATGAAGTTTGACTTGGCCATGGTGGTCCATGCCCTAGTTACCAACAGATTCAATTACTGCAAGGGACTCTACGTGGGGCTGCCCTTGAAGACGGCCAGGAAATTGCAGTTGGTGCAAAGGTTAGCGGCCAGATTACCAACTGGAGCAAGCTACAGGGAGCGGTCAACCTCTCTGTTCAAACAGCTCCACTGGCTGCCAAAGAGTTTCCGGTCCCAATTCAAGGTGCAGGACCTGCCTATCTTCGAGATTGCATCTTCCCTTATAAACCAGCATGAGCCCTAAGATCATCCGGGGAGGCCCTTCTCTTGCTTCCACCTCCGTCTCAAGCGTGGTTGGTGGGAATGAGGAAAAGGGCCTTCTCGGTGGTGGCCCCCCAGCTCTGTAACTCCTTGCCTAGGGAGATCAGACTAGCACCTACCCTGTCCATCTTCCTCAATAACCTAAAAACATGGATGTTCCACTGTGTCTTTGACTAGGCAGTTCCAAAGAACTGACCAATGTTGCCTAAGTTTCCGACAGTTTAGCATGGCCCTCCGCTCTATAATTCTGACATTGTAATGCCCAAGAGCACTTTTCTCCTAGCCCTGCCTTATTGAATTTTGCACTTTTCACAGCTGTATCGAGGAATTTTGCAGAAACTCAGAACCCTCTGAACTCTGCACTCTATTGCTCAGCATGGTACTTTTTTTATGATGTTATGTCCCCTTGGGGTGATGGAGGTGGGGTATAAAAATAAAAATAAAGTTATTATTATTATTATTATTATTATTATTATTATTATTATTATTATGTGAAAAACTAACTACCTACTCAAAGGTCCTTATACTTTTTAAGCAAACTGACTACTGTTTCGGCAGCCTGGGTGAAGGCTTTCTACCACTTCCTT